ATAGGGGTACATTTAGCGATTATAACGTAATAGTCACTTAATCGATGTGGCGATATAAGTTTCTGTCACTATAGTGCTAGTTGGGACCCTACTTGCTTAAAATTGACAAAAATAAGGTTAGGTTAGTTTTAAAATGAGTGGGATCATCTTATCGCCTTCCACTGCGACCCAGCTGGATTTATTGTGGCTCACGACTAACTTATAGTTCACCTTTGGATGAGACAATTCGTCCATTTTTCCGGTATTTTTAAAAAACATTTGTTTGAACACCTTTCGTTAGGCCATTATAAGCCTTCGAAGCTTATTGTGGCACTATTAAGGATCCTACTGCAGTAATCATTTTCTCTGTATTTAAACGGTTACATCTTAGTTCTAGTATCAGTTGGTAATTTCTACAAATTAAATTACATATTAATTTCCAATATGGCATGGGGTTATAATCAGAAACAGCTCATGTAATCAACTGTACTTCGTGTATACTTAGTAGTACGAGAGCTAGCATATCACACGCTTCTCGCATGAAATGGGGATATTGCCTTTGTTATTATGTATCTTTTAATATATGGCTACACTAGATGAGAAAAAATAAGCAATGTAAAAGGCCTTACAAACTTAAGTGCAGTCTTGCAAGATTGATGTTCATTGATATATTAATATTTTTATTAAGAAAGAAAAGCACCATAAAGTCTCAATCATTGAGTTTTCCTTTCTTCTTTGTAAAATAAATTACCTTTTTTTACATTTGTGTGTTTACTTAGTCCATTTTGATGCACTATCCGTACAGGGTATTACCAATTTATAACCCAGAATCAAAATGTCAATCCAAAAATATGTCTTTGTAATGTAGAATAATGTATTAATTTATTCCCAATTTAGAAACTTTGCTTTTCCATTGTGCGAGTGAAAGTGTTTTTGAATGAGAATTTAAAGATACTTTTCATTACAACTCTTTGAAAACCACAAAAATGAATATTGTCAGCTCAAGAATTTATAGTTAAAGCACAAAATTTTGACAATGATGATTACGATAGACGTACGTAAATCATTATTTTGACGATAAATGTTAAAAAATATCTAGTAAATAATTATTATTTTTGGCTTAAAATTTAATAATACAGTAATTCAGAATGCCAAATGGCAAATATATTACGATTTTATCTTGCTATATTATCTTGCTCAACTTAAAGAAAGTAACTGCTGTTTAAGCGTATACAGTAAGAGTACCGGAAACTAGATTTTCATTCACACCAAAGAACGGCACTGTCTCTTGTCAAAAACATTATAGAAATAGGGCGTTTTGAAAGAGGTGTAAGGAAAAAATATTTTAAAAATTTATTACATACGCTTCTGTTGAAACAAGTAGATTTTTATAATAATATTTTGTTATCTGTTGCAATTCTGATACCTTTGATTCATAAAATTAAAATAGTCATATTCAATGCTAAAAATCAGCAAATTTAGTTTAATCTATATAAGCAGCTTTTTGTTTTAACTTAATGTACTTTAATATTTATGTAATTATTATTTTGTTTCTACTAGTGCAAAGTTTTTAAAAAGTTTTAATTTTAATTTAGAAAATGTTATTTATTGCAATTGTGTGCCAATTATTTTAAAATAATTATTATAACTAGTAGTTCTTGTAATCAATAAATACTATTTTTACAACATGCTTTTTAATACATATTTTTACTAATGAGAACCTCTATAAAAGTATTTTTGAAAAATCGACTTCAAAAAATGTTACAATTAAAATTAAACGAAGAGAACAGAAAAATCACATAAACTGGCACTACAAAGTATAAAATAATTGCATAATTTAGTTATAAAGAAAGTTAATAAATACCCTTCTTTTTCTTTCCATTAACTAACTTAAATACGAAATATTTTTTGCATCCTATTATCCCTATAAATCAGTGTTTTTCAATCTGTGGGTCGCGAGCCTTATGGGGGTCGCAAAGCTTTATTCGAAGTCGTTGGCTGAAAGAAAAAGTTGAGGTTCTTACACAACACAAACACAATTTTAGTGAGAAGGATGTGCTTGTTTATTTTTCAATAGTTTATCAAATTGTGGTGCTATTTTTGAAACGTTAAAAATCAAATCTTTTTCTAATTGCAGTCTATTTCTCTTTTTAGTTTTATTGTCTACCATTGAAGAAAATGTCAGTTCACACAAGTATGAAGTGGCGAATGGCACTAATAATTTAAGAGCTTCCCTTGCCAGCTCTGGATTTTCGTGTTTTCTTTTCATCCAAAATAGACATTCTTTAATTTTTGTGATGACATCAGCCAGATCTATTAATTTGTCCAAAAAAGGGTTTAAAATTCATCTACGCCCATTGTTAGCTTCAGAGTTCAAGTCTGGAAAGTATGTCAAAAGTTTCTCTTGTAAATTATGCAAGCTCTGTATCATGCAAGGAATGTGAGCCGGTACTGCAAAACTTTGTTCTGTTGCATTATCTTCAACAATCTTCTGGACACATGGAAAAGACTCAAACATTTTATTCTGCAGAGAGGTTGACCACAAACGAAGTCTTGCATGAAATGCTTTTACTTGATCTTTATCTGTTAAAATATTTTCTTCTCTTCCTTAAAGGTTATTGTTCAAATTGTTAAAACGGCTAAAAAAATCTTCCAAAAATGCTAATTTCAAGAGCCAAATAGGGTCAGAAAAACGATAAGCATATTTAGATTTTGCATCTTGTAAGAACGTTAACAAGTAAGCTTTCAGTTTCAGAACTCTTGTCAATACCTTTCCTTTGGATAGCCACCTGAACTTTGTGTGATAAAGTAGATTTTGATGAAGCGAGCCCATATCTTCACAAACGATTCTGAAGAGCCGGGTTTGGAAAGCTTTACCTTTGATAGAATTCACAGTTTTTATTACCTTCTTGAGCACGTCTTTTAAATTAGAAGTTATTACCTTAGCAGATAGAGCCTGTCTATGAAGAAAACAGTGTGTCCAGGATATGTTTGGCATTATCAATTTTAATTTTGCTATTTTTGCCAGTCATAGCTTGAGCGCCATCGCTACAAATAGCGGTACATTTTATCAATATCGTAGTCGCAAGTGCTTTCTAAAAACATATCGTACAAGCACTGGCCAGTAGGGTTTGCAGGATGTGCTTTGCAAAATAAGATTTCTTTCGTAATACTGTCATCTGCTTCAAAGCGCACAAATACTACAAACTGTGCACAGTCGGAAACATCTATAGATTTGTCAAACTGCAAAGCAAAATTTTGGCTGCTCTTTAATTTTTCGACTACTTGTTCTTGAATATCCTTAGTTATATCGTTTATTCTGCTTGAAATAGTATTGTCAGAAAGCGGTATGTTTTTTAATTTGTTTGCCTCCTGCTTACTGACCATAATTTCAACCATATCAAATGCTGCTGACAAAATAAGATTTTCGGCAATTGTATGTGGTTTTCCTGCTTTAGCAACACGATATGCGACTTTGTAGCTAGCTAATAATGTTGGTAGACATCTCCCTTGCCCTCGTGTGGCAGCGCTCATACGGTACCTATTAAGTTTGACGTTTATTATCATCGTACCAAGTTTACCTTAGCGCTGTCTAATTTTCGTTTAAAAGACTTCTGAAAATAAATAATTTTACATACTAGAGTTTGGATTGACCTTAATTTTATTTAAATTGTAATTTTCAGTTTTATTTCTTGTAATAATTGTGACAGTGGTGTTGTCTATTATTTTATTAACTGGTATAGTTTGTTTGTAATACATTTACGTAGCAAAGGATTAAGTTTAGGCCTTGAAGTTTTAAATTGTGAAGTTTGTAAGTCGTACATGGGACGATAGATTTGTAGATATTGTTTTTCTATTAGAATTAATATTTTAGACGTATATTTTGCATGCCGTTTGGTTAGACTTAATTTATAGTATTATCTTCGGCAATTGGAGTAATTTTAATTCGAATTTGTTTGGCGCCGACTTCAAAAAGTGATATCATGTTAATAAATATTTTGCTATGTGTTTGTTAGTCATATTTGTTGTGTTAGATGTAAAATATAAGTATGTGGCAGATGCATAGTTTATAGGGATAATAGAATGTTAGGAAAATCTTTCTTATTTAATTTAGTTAATGGAAAGAATAATAAGAGTATTTATTAACTTGCTTTATAAATAAATTATGCAGATATTTTACACTTTGTTTATAATTGCCAGTTTATGTAATTTTTCTATTCTGTTCTTTTAATTTTAATTGTACCATTTTTTCCAAGTTAGTTTTTTAAAATTACTTTCATTTTTTCCTTCTTAGTGGCGTCAAACATAAAAATTTGAGGTTGGGTAGACCTTCTTTGCATGCGTCTCGTATGAGAAACCGTCGGGCGAATAAGTAAAAAAATGACAAAAATAAACGTTTGGCGCAAAATAGAAAAAGAACAGAGCCCAACGTTTTGGAAAGACCTCGCAAGACTGTGAAGAAAGGCTCTCTAAAATGCGAAATTATCTAAATAGAAAACTTAGTAATAAAACTGGGAAACAAGGCGAATATCGCATGTTATTTATTCACGAACGGTTGTCTAACGAGACGACAGAGCAGCGCGAACATCGCATGTCACTTATTCAAGAGCGGTTGTCTAACGAGACGGCAGAGCAGCGCAAACATCGCATGTCTCTTATTCAAGAGCGGTTGTCTTACGAGACGGCAAAGCAGCGCAAACATCGCATGTCACTTATTCAAGAGCGGTTGTCTAACGGGACGGAAGAGCAGCGCGTACATCGCATGTCACTTATTCATGAGCGGTTGTCCTACGAGATGGCAGAGCAGCGCAAACATCGTGTCTTGTATTAAAGAGCGGTTGTCTAACGAGACGGCAGAGTAGCGGAAACATCGTAGGTCACTTTTTCAAGAGTGACTATCTATCGAGACGGCAGAGCAGCGCGAACATTGTATGTCTCTCATTCAAGAACAGTTGTCTAACTAAACGGCAGAGCAGCGCTAACATCTTTTGTCTCTTATTCAGAAACGGTTGTCTAACGAAATGGCAAAGCAGCGCGAACATTGCATGTCACTTATTCAAGAGCGGTTGTCTAACGAGACGGTGGAGCAGCGCGAACATCGCATGTCACTTATTCAAGAACGGTTGTCTAACGAGACGGTGGAGCAGCGCGAACATCGCACATCACTTATTCAAGAGCGACTGTCTAACGAGACGGTGGAGCAGCGCGAACATCGCATGTCTCTTGTTCAAAAGAGGTTGTCTAACGACACGGTGAAGCAGCGCGAACATCGCATGTCACTTATTCAAGAGCGGTTGTCTAACAAAATGGTGGAGCAGTGCGAACATCGCATGTATCTTGTTCAAGAGCGTTTGTCTAACGAGACGGTGAAGCAGCGCGAACATCGCATGTCTCTTATTCAAGAGCGGTTGTCTGACGGTGGAGCAGCGCGAACATCGGATGTCACTTATTCAAGAGCGGTTATCTAATGAGACGGTGGAGCAGCGCGAACATCGCATGTCTCTTATACAAGAGCGGTTGTCTAACGAGACGGCAGAGCAGCGCGAACATCGATTATCTTTAGCCAGACGTCAATCTGCACAATTAATACGCAATGAAAATGCAGAAGAGACATTGATTTGACTCAGTGATATCCAAGCCCGTAATAGTAGAAGATTAACGATGGTTGAACAATTTAAATCAGCGATAAATATATAATAAATAATTTATCCGCAACAACGTGCTATAATACAAAAAACAAATTTCGATAATTTACTCCCTGCAGGTTCAATTGCTTCGGGTAACATTGTGACGTGTATTCCTACTCAGGCATACTGGAACAAAATGACCGTTGACATTTCTCAAGAAATAGCCATTTTTATAAATTATTCGTGTAAAAAACTGGTTTAGTCAAGATTGGTGTAAGGGACAAGTTGTTCTCTTTGCCAAAGATATTATCGAACTGGCTGAGCAACTTCCGCTTCAACCTCATTAAGCTGGATTGCAAATATCAAGAGAATTTCAGGTTGATATGATGAAATTAAATCAGACATTACAATGGTTGCTAGTTAATAACGCACTCTACAAAGACGTTCGTCCATCGTTTTACAATATCATAGATCTTTCTGTTGTAATACAAATTACCAAAGCACCTGCTAATGTTCACTTAGCAAACCAAAGACAAGTAAATACATATACGTGCATTGACGAAAACATGGCAATTTTACAAGATTATTTTTATCAAGGCATTAGATTTAGTACTGAATCACGTGGTAAACAATGTACAGCCATTGCAACAATTGCCTGCACTGTTTTTAGCCTTCTTGATCCTAACGCATGGTATAAAAATGACGTCGATTATATTATAATATTGGAAAACAAGTACTATCGTGAGTGTATTCTTGCTTGAGTTAATCAAGACAATCGGAAATTAAATCACTTAGCTGTGACACAGCTGTTACCATGAACTATTTTTACCAGGCATGCAGTTAATCTGAGTGTCAGTTACGAAGCAGCCTATAATGGACATATCGGCAACAATAATAGTGTCAAATGTTTTCCTAACTTCAAAAGCGCTTTATTAAGATTTTTTATGGGTAATAAATATGGCATATTAACGACAAATGCAATTACAGTCGCTGTGCATTGCAGAAATAATTCTAAAATGCTATCATGTTGTTTATTTGATTCCCATGCCCGTAGTGTCAAGGAATATACAGCCTCATTCAGGGGTACGGCCTGCTGCATGCGATTCTATATTATAGATCAGTTGTATGACATTTTACGACGCAACTTATATATCCCTACTAAATATAACCATTTCTACTGAGTCTATAATGTTAAACGTTTATTTATTGACACCTATAATGATATTACTGGAAATGGAATGGCCCGAAAATCAGATGGAAAGACAGCTGATGATTGAGACTTCATTACAAAAAACGCAAGACCATATGCCACTGCCACATCATCAAACTGATATTCAAATGTTGCCCCAAGTTCATAGTGACTCTGATGACAATGACCATCGGTTTGTGCATACAAAAAATATGCTTTACACTATTGATGAAGGTGTACCTGATTTAGATAACGTTATATCAATCGATAACGGTGATCTAACAAATGAAGTAAGACTTGCAGAAATCACTCTTAAAACCGCACCACCATTAAATTTAGAGCGGGAAAGAAGAATGGAGGAATTGTGTTAGGTTTTTTTGTTGATGGAACAAATGGATTTAGGGAAGAAAGAAATATTCCTATTACGCCCCTGGACAATTACCAAGCCAGAGTGATGGGTTCAGAAGCTCGATTTCAACGAAATGATCACTTTTTTTGCTTCGTCCGTTGTCAAATACTTTTGCGCTAAATTCAGTGTTTCAGTATCCTGTAGGATGTGGCAAGATTACAGGGAAGAAACACCTTAAGGACTAATAGATAACATGCATCTGATAATAAGGAACGTAAGAGGATCTGCTTTCTACTGGGGACGGTGTTGTTTAGAATTGATTGCCATGGTTAAAAGTCTCGGAGCGCCGACGTAATTAAGGACATTCTACTGTAACGATTTAAATTTGCAAGACATGAGCAAAGAATTACTTATTGCAAACGGCGGTGATTTGCGTAAGGCATAAGCACTGTCATTTCCCGAACGTTTATAACTGATTCAGAAATATCCAGTAGTAGTTGCAAGTCAGTTTAATCTACATTTAAAAAATAACAAAACACCTGCTTGGGAGGTTCTGTTTAGGAGAACTGGCATCGGATAAAATTTCAACATAGAGGAAGTCCTACATATCTTGTTGTGGTGCGACGGAATTCCAGAATTTTCCACCATGGAAGGCATATCAACAATTGAACAGGTTTGTCTCGTGCTCTTTAAACTGTGATGATCCGTCTCTGCACAATTTAGTTGGAAATATACAAATACATAAACACACAGCCACTTTTCACAAAGATCGCAATGATAGTTGCTGTCAATTTGAATATCCAAAAGAACCAGCAGTCACCACAATGTGTTGAGGTCCTGATAAAGCGACAGCGCTTTATCAATAGAAGATATTGTGTACTAAAAAGAGCAGCCAATGAGACCATGGTTAATAATTACAATCCAGAACTTCTTTCTCTGTGGGAGGCTAATATGGATATACAACCCTATCGCAACGTTACAGCTGTCGCGTATTATGTGGCGAAATAAGCTAGTAAATGTTAGCCCCATAATACAGAAGAAGGAAGAAATTAAAAAAGCAAAAATAAATGGTGGCGCCACATGGAATCAGTTGTTTGCCGTCTCAATGGCTATTTTACCGCAGCGATTGGCCAGTGCTTCTGAATGTGGGTATCGTCTTTGTCCTCTTCTACTAAAAATGAGCAGCCGCAAAACAGTATTTATCAACAGCTAAAAAAGAAAACAAGGATTTTTGCTGCTCCGTTTCGACGGAGATGAAACTGCTATATAAAATAATATTTTCGATTTTCACGTGCTGAGGCCAGAACACTTGGAAAGCACAAGTCGTCTGTTATGAGACTATATCTTATGCAACGTGGACTGAAGATGAAGGTGATATAGAAATGAGAGATCTTGATAATCGGCTATTAAGATAAGTTACATTAAGAGACAACACACGAATGCGGATACGTAACAAACCAGCAGTATTAAGCACGCGATATTAACTTTTATTAGAAGGAGAACTGGCTGAAGAATGTTATTTAAGACGTCAAGGAGAATTGGGACCTCTTCTTAATAATGTTACCTCGGAAAAATTTGACCAAGTAATACAGCAAGCACTCGTTCAAGCAGCCGCCTTGAATGCCATTCGTAATACGCATACTGACAGTACTTAAGACAACCCAGTCGTGTGTGTTGATTTAGGTACAATATATGACCAAGACGACTATTGTGAACATTTCGAACATGCAGCAATGTCAGATGACATATTTTTTGGAAATGTCAGGTTGAATGTGCAGCAAAAAAACTCTTCCAAAAAATAACACAGGCTATTCAAACTAATTTAAAAGGCGACAACGAAAAATTGTTACTGTTCATTACCGGTGGAGTAGGTAGCGGCAAGTCGTTCGCACTTAAATTACTTGTAGAGCACATAAAATGATGTTATGCTCCTCTCGTCAACATAATTATAAATCCCACATTCGTCTAAGTAACATATTTAACTGGAGTTGCCGCTCGCCAAGTATTTGGCAAAACCCTACATGCCGTTTTCTATTTGCAGATTTAAAAAGAAAATGCTAGGACATACACGTACATGATTAACAAATTGCAACAAGAAAGACAAAACTGACGTTACATTAACTGGTTGATTATCGATAAAATATCAATGGTGTCCTACGAAAACATACGAATGATAAATATGAGATTACAAGAGTTTAACCCTTAATTGCGCATTGTTGCATATCTGATACGACTATTTAAAATAGATATAAGAAACGTTTGCTTGAAAATAAACATCAATCTGGCCGATGTATCACTTTTGAGACACCCTAAAGTATATGGCGCTTAGGATCAAAATCGCGGGCAACTTTTCTTCGCTTAGTAATTTCGTTCAGTGTATTGAGGTGTCTGAAGCGCGTAAGCACGTGGATGATCTGATATTGAAATTTGTTTGTTTTTATTAACTTTTTAACCGACTTCAAAAAAGGAGGAGGTTCTCAATTCATTGCGATATTTTTTTAACCGACTTCAAAAAACGAGGAGGTTCTCAATTCGTCGCGATTTTTTTTTTTCATGTATGTTCAGCGATAATTCTTTAATACGGTGTCCGGTTTTAATAATTCTTTTTTTGTTAGGGGTAGTCCCATATAAATTTGGTCAAAATCTAATAGTTGGGTCCAGGGATCCCAGATGTACTGAGCCTAAATTCGTTAGCTAGATCGTGAAAAAATCGTGAGAAATCGTGAGATTATACTACGCATGCGCAGTTTAGCTAAATATATATAGTATTTTCGATTTTGATGAACTTTGTCCGAGCGAAGAGCAAGGAATGACCGACTTTTAAATCTCAGTACATCTCTATTGATAGTGTGTTACTATCGAAAACTATCGATTGTTCGATAGTTTAAATTTACATGTTTTTAGTAGTTTTTAAATTAATTTTCACGCAATTCGATCAAGTAAACTAAAATTATAAGAATTCAGCACTATAGATGATAAATCTGTTTTAAAGATTGCCCTAACTAATTTGTTAACATACGCACGCCACAAATGTGACTCCTGCCTCCACCTGTTTTCTTATGTCTCTGCTTACCTACTGGTACATTTTTTTATTTCAAATATTATTTTTTTTTTCTATAAATAACATGTATTACTTTAGTGTACTACGTATCAACCGTTGAATCAACGTTGGTATAGTTTCGATAGTACTATTACTATTGATAGTAATTCTTGAGACTATTAAAAATATGGATAGGGCCAGATATGGAAAGTATCCGACCACTTGCTGGGTACTGTCAAGTGTTAGTCGTCCGTCATTATCGGCCAACGCATTAGCACGTTCCTGGGTTGGACTTTACAACATAATTCAATTGTTTGATTAATTAAAAAGAATCGTTTTACATAAAAACTTAAGGTTCACTACTGCAAGCAGCTTGCTAAAAAATATCGTAAGATTCAGGCGCATTATCGTGAGATCGTGAGACTCAGTACTAAATCGTGAGATCTCACGATAAATCGTGAGATCTGGGATCCCTGGTTGGGTCCATGAAAAAATCCTCACACCCTTCATTTTTTATGTACGATTAGCGATAATGTTTTTCCACCTTGTCCGATTTATATGATTCTTTTTTTGTTAGTAAGGGGGTACCTCAGAGGTGGTCCCATATAAATCTAGTTAAGATGTGGTGATGGCATCTGTACGTTTTTGAACTCGGTTTTTTTAAATTTTTAATTTCTAATACCTGTATTAGAATATAATGCTGTAAATATGTCAGCGCAAAATATAAGGTAAGGCATACCAATATATAAACTTACTACAAGCACAGATGTATTTGTTTTTCTACAATTACGCGATAAATACTGTTGTTTCAAATCTGATACATAGCGTTTACTAGGTTGAAAAAAATGGATTCCAAGAGAGCATTAATCGAACGTGAATTAGAAGAGATTGCTGCTAATTTTTGGAATAGTGATGATGATTTCGACCTAAGCGAGTCTGAAGAAGACGGAAGTGAAGATGAAGATCAAGAGTTAGACATAAATACCGTGCCTCTTGTATTCGATGATGAAATTATTTTTAGTATGGAAGACCAAAACGTTGCAATCAATCCACAACCTGGAACATTCACAAATACAAATCGTGTTCAACATCAGGACATTTCTCAACCTGGATCATATTTGATGGATCAAGTTACCACCGAGACACTTAGCATGCAATCAAAAAATGTCACATGGAAGAGAAAAAATCTAAAAATCGATGACGCTGCCAAAACTTTCACATGAAATAGTATGCTGCCAACTGATATTTTAGAGTTGTCAACGCCTTATGCATTTTTTAAATACTTCTTTGACGACGACCTTATTGATAAAATTGTTTCTGAATCTAATATTTATGCTGTACAGAAAAATCCAAACAAACCTGTTGGGCTAACCAGTGTAGACCTAAACCAATATCTTGGCATTTGTGTTTCTATGTCCATAGTACACATGCCTAACTGTCGCAGCTATTGGAGTAATTCGCTATCATTTGCTCAAATAAAAAATGGCATGAGTGAAAAAAGATTTGAATTTATAAGAAAATCCCTACATTTTAATGATAACACATATCTAGATAAGAATAATGCACACTATGACTGTCTACATAAATTGCGATCATCTAAATTAAAAATTTCAAAATATTCCACTGAAAGAAAAACGTTGTATTGATGAGCAAATGTGTGCTTCTAAGTCTAGACATCACATGAAACAGTATATGCCAGCGACGCCTCATAAATGAGGCTATAAACTTTTCATTTTATGTGGTGTTAGTGGATTTTCATACAAATTTGAAATTTATACTGGCAGAGAAAATGATGAAATAAATCGTTTTCCAGAGGAACCTAATCTTGGAACTAGTTCCAACGGAGTTGTTAGGTTGTCACGAATTGTTCCGAACGGAAAAAATTATGTCATCTATTTTGACAACTATTATACGTCTTTGCCTTTATTGCATTACCTGGCTAACAGAGGCATATATTCTTTAGGCACTGTGAGACGTTATCG